TTGGTCAATTTTCCACTCAAAGCCACGCAGACACATTTTGACCTGTGGCTTCGCCCTATTTTTCGCACTGTTTCATGATCCTGTTTTTTGAGAATCACAAAACCACGGGAAAAATCGGGTGAAGCCGGAGGTCAAAATGCGGCCGTGCAGCTTCGAGTGGGAAATTGACCAATAGAAGTGGGGCAAAGGGAGGCGCGACCGCAGCGCAGCTCTTGTGTGAAATTGGTCTGTGTGTGATACCTTGCCAGTTTCTTTTACCAGTTTTTCTTCCCCATAACAGTTACAGTTAACCAGCAACTTTTTTTTGTTCCTTAATCAATAAATCCTATTTTGTTTACGTTTAACCCAGAATTCAGTCCAATCCTTCCTCAGGGCCACATAGACCTTTGAAAGCCCAGACCCTGGGTCACATTACCAACAGCAGCTAATGAGAGAAGATTTGGAATTTGTTTAAATTCCTGGTGGCAGCAGAAACTACCCGGTTTGTGAACACAAAGTATAATTTTAAAGTGAAAACCAGTCCTCCCCAAATAACAGGATGCCACAAATACTGAGCAGGAACATCTTTGATAGAAAGCAGTGATCCTAAAGGCACTAGAACCAAATGGGACTTATTTTGCAGTAAACACACAGAAGTTTCCGCCTGTGGGGATGGGCCTTAACAGGTTTGCTATATGAAGAGCTGTGCAAACCCATGTTCTTAATTCTCTTTCCAGCAGGCTGCAAGACAGCAATGCCATGGCCACGGTGGACTGGCGAGTAAAGCTATTGGGAAAAGGGTTGGGAAATACCCAAAGTTTTTAGAGGCGGGGCCTGGGAGGGCGGGGTTTAGAAAGGGGAGGAACCTCATCAGGGTACAATGCCATAGAGTCCACCCTCCAAAGCAGCCATTTTCTCCAGGGGAACTGATCTCAATTGTCTGAAGATCAGTTGTAATAGTGGGAAACCTCTAGTCCCCAACCGGGAGGCTGGCAACCCCACCCGGCCTCAGGCAAGGAAAGACTCACCTCACAAAGGGCGGCCTGGTGCAAGTGGATGGGAACCACCACCAGCTCTCACTTTCTGTGAGGTGACTGGTAGGGTTGCCATCCCCCCCGATGGGGGCCCCAATCTGCTGCCATTCAGCTGGTGGGTGGGGGAAGCCCCGCCCCTGAGCAGTCCCATTGACACTGATGTGCCCAGCACAGTGATGTCACCCAGACTCCATAGATTTCCCCCCCTCAAATGCTAGAGCGTCCCACTCGCAACGTGCCCTGTGTGATGACATCACCTCCGGGTGACATCATCATAGAGTGCGCAAAGGCTCCAGGAATAACACGGAGCTCCTCCCTTCGCTGGAACACAGTAAGGACCTGTCATCACTGCCAGCCTTCACTTTTTGTGAAGTACACAGGGGTGGACAAGATGGTGGCACTCACTTTGCAGGAGAATGTGCCTTTCCTCCCGGTCTGCCTCTGATCCCAAATGCGCTGAAGAACTGTTGGGTGGGTGGGAAGGGCCTTTGAGAGGGTTCCTTGTTGGTCATGTGGAAGTCTGACTTCATCTAGTGATGATGGCGTGCAATACTGGAAAAAAGACCAGTCCAGTCCAAATCACCGAGGCTGGCCTTGTGGCCCTACCAAGCTGCATATTTATAGCCAATCACAGAGATCACACGCCCATGCCAGGTGTGGAGAAACACCATTTTATGCCTATGTTTAAGTTGGTGTGGGCCAGATAGGAGGAGACCATGAAACCTGAGGTAGGCCTTGGCCTAGTCTCCTCCTCATTCCCCCCCCTCCTGTCTCCAACCAGTAGTCAGAGGGCAGCTCCCTAGAGAGGACAGGAAGTCCATCCATCAAGGCAGATCTGCCCCAGAATGCTGCAGGAGGGAGAGCCACTTCCTGGGCGGGAAGGGCTGTTTGATATAGTGGAGCTTTTGGGCGGGAAGCCAGTCTTGGAGAATGGAGAGCAGTCTGCCTGAAGTCTGGAGCCAGTCAGGCCGTCGGCTGGAGACTGCAGGAGGCAGAGGCCATGTTGGGAGTTGTGCTAATCTAACCTCCTCCAATGAAAACAAGTCATGTGCCTGCCCTGCAGACCATCTAGACAGGGTATGTGTAGTGAAGGGAGAGAGGGAGAGATTTATTATCCACCTTTATTTTGATTCTTCAGTTCACTGTTAATATGCCTGTATATAGTTAAGTGTTTTCAAAATAAATTCTTTTACTGTTGACCCTGAGAAGTCCCTCTGTACCACATAGTTCCCCCAGCCGCTTGGACACGCTAAGAGTGGGTTGGGGACTCCCTGAGGAGGAGAATAAGGGCAAAACGGTCAGGTGCCAACTCTCCAGGGGAGCCCCGAAGATTACCAGGAAGCCCCGAGGTGGGTTCCTAGCAACGGCAGAGGGAGGTTAGGAGGCTGTCCCGCCTAACCAGAGCCCAAGACAGGGACAGTGGTGGCAGCAATACCCGGAGGCAGTGGTGAAAAACTGCCCCTTCAGATGCCAGGCCAGGCAAAGGAGGGGTGGGCAGAGCGGGGTCTGCCAGCTGACGCGGGCCCGTTCCGCCACACCATGTAAAGTGATGCACATTGGGACAACAAATCCCCACTTCAAGTATAGGCTCCTGGGGTCTGAACTCACTGAGACTGAGAGGGGAAAAGATCCTGGGGTTGTAGTGGATAGCTCAATGAAAGAGTCAACCCAGTGTGCCGCAGCAATGAAACAAGCAAACTCTGTGTTAGGGATTAATAGAAAAGGGATTGAGAATAAAGCAGCCAGTATTGTAATGCCCCTGTAAGGATCTATGGTGCGGTCTCATTGGAATACTCTGTACAGTTCTGGTCACCGTATCTCAAAAAGGACATTGCAGAGCTGGAAAAAGTACAGAGGAAGGCAACAGAGATGATAAGGGGTTTGGAGCACCTTCCCTGTGAAGAAAGACTGAAGAGACTGGGACTTTTCAGTTAAGAGACGGCTAAGGGGGGGACACGATAGAGGTTTATAAAATTATGCATGGGGTAGAGAGAGTTGACAAAGATAACTTTTTATCTCTCCCCAAATACTAGAAGTTGAGGGCATCCAATGAAGCTGATGGGCAGTAGTAGGTCCAGGATGGACAAAAGGAAATACTACTTTACACAGAGAGTGGCTAAAATGTGGAATTTGCTGCCAGAGGATGTAGTGATAGTAACAGAAATAAACAGGTTTAAACGAGGATTGGATAGATTCCTAGAGGACAAGTCTATCAATGGCTGCCAGCTATGGTGACTGAGGGGAACCTCCACATTCAGAGGCACTAAGCCTCTGAAACCCAGAGCCAGGAGGCAACATCAGGGGAAGGCCTTGGCCTCTCTGTCCCATTGTTTGCTCTCCATGAGAATCCGTTGACCGCCGTGTAAGACAGAATTTTGGACTAGATGGTCTGGTCCAGCAGGCCTCTTCTGATGTTCTTATGAAGGCCTCGGCCTCTGTGCCCAGTTGTTGGCCCTCCAGAGGAACTGGTTGGCCCCTGTGTGAGACAGGATGCTGGACTAGATGGACTTGTGCAGATGTTGCTTTAGCGGTAGCTACCACCATAGCACAAGGATCTTCACTGTGTGACTGAAGGTAAGCTGTGGCAGTGATTTTGTGGCTGGCACTGCCTCCTGTGGCAGCCATTTTGTGACTTTGCCCCCCCCCCACTGTGTCAGAGTTCCAAAGGCGCCCATGGGCTTAAAAAGGTTGGGGACCCCTGGAGTAATGGGTGTAGGTTTGCCACATTCCTGGTCTAAGCCAAGTAGCCCCTGCCAGCATTGCAAGGGCTATGGGGCTCAGCTTCCAGCAGGACCATTTTATTGTTCCAGCCCACTCCTATGTGGGTAGAACACAGGGTTGTCTAAATTTGTGGCCACGGTCAGCTTTGGTCTTCCCAGCTCCTGTTACGCCACCTGTAACTCCATTCTGTTTGGTTTCCTCACTCCCACTTTAAGTTTTATCAGCCCACCTCACAAAGAGGCACAACACATCTGATTCCGTTCATTAAAAATTTTATTTCAACTTTCCCAAAGACTTTAATAAAAATTGATATAAAAGTTGGAAGCATGTTCAATTAGAAAAAACAAATATGAGAAATGTTAACTGTTGCAAACAATTATGAAATCCTTTAGCACAGCAGAGGTTCTTGGAGCAAGAGTCCAGATTATTTCAGAAGGCTCAAAGTACAGACATGAAATAACACAAGCTAAAGCAGTACAGCCAGTGGTTCTCTTGCATAGGCCAGGGTGGAAGAGAATCGGCAGCTAACAGAATATCATGCAAACTTGAAGGGGAGAACAGTTTGTGAATACACATCATGTTTATATTAATATATAAATTAACAGTTAAGTTAAAACATCTGCATTGTAGAACTGAATAATCACATTGCATCTAGGAATTAGTGGATGCTACCTAAGTATGTCAACATCTGAGAGGCAGATACCAAGGTTCCTCTACTGCTCATAGTATCTGTAAATTAACAACTGCCAGTATGTGGCAATGATAGCAGTAATTAGTTCTTATATGACTCTTTTTTACAACATGCATTTAAAAAGCTGCTTTACTTATGGACCATGTTATTACTTTACAGATGAGAAATATTTGACAAGCCCCCCCCCCAAAAAAAAGATCACCCACTAGCGGAGGAACTAGAAGCTCTCCCAGTTTCGTCCAGCTACCAATAGCTGGTACTCAATGTTTAAATATTAAACAGCAGATAACATTGTTTGTCTCAACATGCGCCACAGCAAGGCCATGACCATTGCAAGTCTGCACACCCAAGACTCGATAGCCTATAATTCTTAATAGCCTCCTTGACCACATAGTCATATCTGTCTGATGCACATAAATATTAAATACATGATAAATATCCTAAACAGTTAGTTGATTAAAAGGGTAATAAAATTAAATTGCAATAAAAATATTTTAAATATTAATAAATAAAAGTCCAATAAATAAAACTAAGAACCAAGCATTAAGAATAATTCCTTTAAGTTTGTTGTGGGAAGAGAAGTCTTCAGAGAAGTCCCTACACAAGTTCTTGACATTTCAATTATGTAGAAGTTATGAAGCTGGAGATGAGCCAGTCTCCGTTGGTTAGATCTTGGTTGCCTGACTGATGGAACGGTAGCTCAGGACTTCTCCGTCAGCATTCCACAATCAAACCAGTTTGCCCAAAACTCTTGAGTGCTAGTCACTTGGAAAAAGCAGTTTAGGGATTCCAAAAAAATGGGGAACTTAATTCTGTGTATTAAAAATATCTGTTAAAATTTTGTGAAGCGCTTGGAACCTCACCTGATACTTGTTATGACTTTTGGTTAAGTATTGTAAAAAACTGTGTTAGCTAGGTAGCAGAAATTACCTCTTCTGTTGGTGAAAAATGGCAACACAATTTTAAAAACCCTAAAAATTCTGTATCTCAAAAAGCAATTCGCTGTCCATCTTCACAGAAGAAGCGCCCCAGGCACCCTGCAAAGGGATTTCTGATCTTCTTCCCGAGATCTCCATATCTCCCGCACTTATGAACTGCAGTGCCGCAGGGCTCGGAAGGTCATCTCGAGGAATCTCTCGAAGTTTCTGAGAACAAGGTAGCTTCCAGCTTCCTTTTCAGATTCCAGGAAGGAAGGGTTGGCCTGGCTTTCCGTCTGAGGGTAGGCAACCACTGTCAGCCCGTTTTCTTGCATCTGAAGGAAGATAAGCGAAAGCCGTTAGGGACTGAGGCCTGAACAGTTGTGAGTGCCACAGCAGTCAAGCAAGTGACCTTGAAAATCAAGTTTTTTACTTAATCTCTCTTAACCCGATTGCTAGTTTGTCTAGCTCTCTCAATCTCAGGCCTTCTGAAGAAACTCTCAATACCCCCCACCAGGGCTTTTTTTGCAGAAAAAGCCCAGCGGGAACTCATTAGCATGATCAGCCACACCCAACAGCACAAACACATTAGCATATTAGGCCATACCTTCATGCCTTCCCCTGGCTTGCCCGGGTGTCCCACAGCTGTGGGGCGCCCGGGCAAGCCAGCCCTCGGACAGGCTGGGGAACACGGGGAGGCATTTAAATGCCTCCCCAATTCTTCCAGGCCCCCCCCCCGGCCCACCTGCCTCGGAGTCACCGCGGGGGGGAGGGTTTGCTCTCCAGGCCTTCCCTCTGTAGCCACGCACTCAGAGGTAGTGGCTGTAGTGGGCGTGGCCAACTCTGAAGCCAGCCGGAACTCCGTTCCTGTGCGCTCCTGCCCAAAAATAGCCCTGCCCCCCACTCCCCCCCCAAAGGACACTCAGAGTGGCTTACATCATCATTCTCCCCCTTCCGTTTTAACCTTGCCCCCTTGCAAAGTAGGATAGGCTGAGGTACCCGACCAGTTGCTTGTCGGAGTGGAGATCTGAACCCAGGTTTCCGAGCTCCTAGTCAAGACACCCTAACCACTGCCTCACACTGCCTCTCCACATATGCCACAGTGGCTGCCGTGTGAGAAGGGCTGATTGTTTCCCAGCTGGAAGATCAGTTGCAGTATCGCTTCACGTACATGATCTGCCACACAGAAGTCTGAGGGCTTTTGCATAACTTGGTACAAGCATGAAGTGGCCTCGGAAGGACTTTAACCCTCAGAGGAAGGTCTGAGCAGCCAGCTTCTTCTTACCTGCTGTTGGAGGTTGGAGGACAGGTTTGACACGTCCACCTGGAGACCATCCACGTGGCCAGCGAAATTCGGCAGGAGCTCCTTTATGCGGGAAAAGTAGCCATGGTAAGTCTGAAGGCCTGTCCTTATCTGGTTGAAACAGCCAGCCTGAAAGATGGGGAGAAGGAGAGGGCATTAAAGACTCGGAGATACTTAAAAATAGCAACAAAGGTGGGGACTGGTGTCTGTGGTTGCCAGCCTCCAGGTGGTCCCTGGAGATCTCCTGTTACTACAGTTGATCTCCAGATGACCAAGATCGGTTCCCTCTGGAGAAAATGGCTGCTGTCCAGTTCAGTTTATTGTTACGGTCCTTAGACCAGCTGTACAGAAAAAGAAGTACACCTTTACAATATCCCAAAAGTTTAAAATATATCAATAAAACATTAAAAGCAGATTAAAATTAAAATGGCGGCTTTGGAGGGTGGACTCTATGGCATTGTACCCTGCAGTTCTCAAAAGAGCTCTTTGATTCTCCACTCCTCCACATGCAGCTACTGATATGACCTTGGGCCAGTCACAAGTTCTTTCAGAGCTGTTCTCTACAGAGCAGTTCTCGAAAGAACTCTCTCAGCCCCACCTACCTCACAGGGTGTCTGTTGTGGGGAGGGGGAGGGAAAGGAGATTGTAAGCCGCTCTGAGACTCCTTCAGGTATAAATCCAATCTCCTCTTCAAAAGTAACCTCATGGTTTCAGTTGAAGATTCTCTGTTTTTTCTTAAACACGCACAATATTTTGTTTTTTTTAGTCTTTCGGGGACGGGGGTGGTGGAGAGACTGCTCATGAGATATCACCTACCACCCACATAGTTTAGCAACTTAACCAAGCAAATGTATTAGATAACAAGATGGCCAGTTTTAGATTCAAACGGGCAGCCATGCTGGGTCTGAAGAAACAGAACAAAGTTTGAGTCCAGTGACACCTTTAAGACCAACAAGGTTTTATTCTGGGTATGAGTCTTCATGTGAAGAAGTATGTATGCACACAAAAGCCTATACCCAGAATTCAACTTTGTTGGTCTTAAAGGTGCCCCTGGACTCAAACTTTGTTCTGTCCCTAGTGGAGTGACAGTTCAATGTAGCCTCAGGAGTTTCACAGGGCTATGACAATGGCCTAGACAGGGCCCCCCCCCCTACACACTCAAGCCAGAAGAGATCTGGATCCCTACTCCCTTCTAGTATGGAACCATGGAGGACTCACCACCCCCTTACCTTGTTAACCCATCGCCTAATCCCCAGAAGTGCCAAGTCAGGATTGTGAAGCTAGTACAATTACTTCTCTGTGGTTCAGGTTACTAAACTCATTTCACTTTTCCCCACCTATTTATTTTTGGCAACTAGCTCTTGGGGGGAAAACTGACTGATATTTCTCAAGAGTTTTGGCTTAAATAATGACATCCTCCTTTTGCTTGCTGTGACTGAGCTGTTGGGAAACGCACATTCTTCACATTGCCTGACTCAGATAACTCCCCTGAAGCCAGAAAAAGAGTTATTTCCATTGCTCATCCCTCTCCTGCCATGCATATGACCACCCACTAAACAGGTCTGCAAAAAAATACAGCGTGGAGCTAGGAATAGTTGACTGTCACTCACCAGGTCACAGGGGTCAGTGCGGCAGAGGGAGAGATCCATTTGCGAGATGTCCAGCATCTCCCGCATCAACATCAGCTCGTCGTCGCTGTGGATTTTAAACTCTTTCTGCTGAGGGTTTGCAAGTGGAGAAGACAGGATTAGGAGAGAGATTTTTTTTGGCAGGGATACGCAACGCATTTGAATATCACACCCAGGCATAAGAACATAAGAGAAGCCAATGTTGGATCAGGCCAATGGCCATCTAGTCCAACACTCTGTCACACAGTGGCCAAAAATACCAGGTGCCATCAGGAGGTCCAGCAGTGGGGCCAGGACACTAGGAGCCCTCCCACTGTCGTCCCCCCCCCAAGCACCAAGAATACAGAGCATCCCTTGCCCCAGCCTGAGAGTTCCTATCTACAGGAAAGGTAAAGGTTCCCTTGCTCGAAAGCCAGTCAAGTCCGACTCTAGGGTTGCAGTGCTCATCTCCGTTTCAAAGCTGAAGAGCCAGCGCTGTCTGAAGACGTTTCCGTGGTCATGTGGCCGGCATGACTAAACACCGAGGCGCACGGAATGCTGTTACCTTCCCACCGAAGTGGTACCTATTTATCTACTTGCAATTTCTTGCTTTTGAACTGCTAGGTTGGCAGGAGCTGGAACTAGAGACGGGAGCTCACTCGTCATTCGGCACACTCAGGTCTCGAACTGCTAAACTACCGACCATCCACAGCCTGCAGTTCAGTGTCTTAACCACTTGAGCCACCACAGCTCCTTACTTGTCTATACCTTGTGGCTAATAGCCACTGATGGACCTCTGCTCCATATGCTTGCCTAATTCCCTCTTGAAGCCATCCATGCTTGTAGCCGCCGCCACCTCCTGTGGCAGTGAGTTCCACGTGTTAATCACTCTTTGGGTGAACTACTACCTTTTATCTGTCTAACCTGACTGCTCAGCAAGTTAAAAGGAAGATTGGCCTTTTAACTTAGAGGGAAATTTCTTGATGGGCCATTTTGCCCGGGAGGGGCACCAGGGATCAAGAGCAAGCAGAGCCAAGCCTTAGCAACATTGCCAGCCCCTCTGGGGCCACTGGGGCCCAACTTAGGGTTGCCAGTTCCAGGTTGGCAATTCCTGGAGATTTGAGGGTGGAGTCGATGCCTGTTGTTGGTGCTACTGAGTTCAGTTCTGGCTTTTAGCAATGCAGGGTCTGCTCAGTTGGGCTTATCACAGGGTCATTTTCACTTCCTGGTCCATTGTACACCTTCTGGCCTCCCCCCTGGCTGTGCAGAAGAAGCGTGCTGGGCCTGTAACTCCATCAGCTGCGTGATTCATGCAACAGACCTGCACAAACTGATTCCACAGACTAACGCAACTCTGTCACCTTACTCATTTAGCCAACACCCCTTTGCCACTGGCTTTTGGGTCATATCCTAGAAGATTGCATCCAGCAGCGCATTAACTTCCTGATGACCTAATGCATTTTACAAGACTCGAACAAGGTCTGGTGTTACAGAGGAAGGATTTGCAATGGCTCTTCCCTGTGTGCTGGGCCTCCAAGTCTCCCCCACCTGCTGATCAAGCAACACACTGGCTTTTTCTGTTACCTGAACTTGCTCCCTGCCAAGAAGCAAGCCTGTCCTCATTGAAACAAGGACTATTCTAGACCAGACAAAGTTCCTATCCACCCACACCAATGCAGACTTGTCCTGTTGTTGACAATAGAGTTGTTATGGCCACCTCACCCGGAGGAGTGAGCTACACTCAGACAAGTGATTGATTTCCTACTGTGGAACGTTGGGCATGTACCAGTATAAGATTTCTAGAGCTATAGGACAAAGACTTAGGGGCACAGGAAGAAACATAAAACAGTCATGGGAGCAGAATTCAGTTCCAAAAATCTCATCTTCTCTAAAACGTTTCTAGTCCTTATGACTGGAAGTTAACCTTTTAATACACTGCATTGCTCATACATTCATAAGCCAGGAGGGGGGATACTGCCGTGATTTATAGTGTAGGGAGGGACAGTGTTCACAACCACCTGTAGCTCTTTACCCAGCTTCATGGCCAGCAAATATCTGCAGGAGTCTTCTTCTCTTGGTGCGGAATTTGGATAGCCCTGGCACAGAGTTCCTTTTGAGCACGGAATTCATCCCCACTCATTTGTAGGTGAGCGAGAGCATCTTCCTTCCCCATTGCCACCCATAGATCAATGCACAGGATCTCAACCAGAAAACCTGGTTTTTATTAAAGGGTGCAAATGAGTCTTGGCATCCACTGAAATCCAGTGTGAATCCTGTGGTACTATCCAAATTTCACTGAAACTGGAATAAACACTCATCTCTCCCTTTGTCAAGTCAACTCAAAACTTGTCTCCAAGAAGCAGCCAGAGAGAAGTCACTCCTCTCCCCTTTTCTTCTGGGTGGGCTGGAAAGGGAGAGCTGGGTGCCTGTGAGTGACACAAACGGGACCAAATTCACAGTGCTTAGAGCAGGAGAGGAAGCACTCCTCAATATGGGGGTTAAATTCCATGGAGGGACAGTCTGTAATTTCACAGGAAACAGTAAAAAAACCCATTAAAAACATCTTGCCAACTATTTTGTTTATCTGATAACTCAGCCTGTTGGGAATAATTACCCTCTGGGTAGTTCTGAACTTGCCAAGGCACATAATCCAATACTGCACACTTGTTTCCATTGCACTTTACAAAGTGCAATTACGCTATTATTATTGGGAGAGAAGCAGTTGCAGGCTAAATTTGGCAGGTATGGATGCAGGCAGGATGTCGCAAGCTCAAACCAAGACTAGAAATCTTGGGGAGATGCCTTTATCTGCCTTTTGGGATCTACAGCAATTGTTTTAAGATGTTTCATTCCAGGGACAGAGCCAGGTTAGTCTGTGGCAGACAATACAGAAGCCCAGGGGCACTTTAAAGACTTGTGATTGGATCCAACCTGATATACAGCCTGACCCTATATATTGTTACACATCCATCCCAGTGAGCTTATTCCCAAATATGCATACAGCCGCAGACTTAGATGCTCCTTTTGCAAATCACATCCATATTTATTTATTATTTATTTATTTATTTATAAGTATTTTTACCCCGCCCTACCCCGCGAGCGGGCTCAGGGCGGCTTACAAGGGGCATAGCCCATTCATAAAACCAATAAAACCATAATTTCTTTGGGAGTCCCTTCTGCAATATTTACCCTTCACTTGCCAACTCACCATGAGCTTTCTGACCCTGGAGACATCCTGTTTTATCCTCAAGACAAACTCCCGGTTCTTCTGGACAAACTGGAGCAGTTCTGGATCTCCGGAAGACTCCGGCAAGGGGGCGGAAGCACTCATTGTCCACGACAACGCAATTGTGAGTAGAGAAAAAATACCTGGAGAGAAAGGCAGGCACAGACATCAGCTTCTATCGGAGTAGGCCACGGGTTCCCAACCCTTTTGTGCCTGTAGGTGCCTTGGGAACTTTGACACACTGTGGTGGAAACAATATCAGGGAGCAAGGCTACATATAATCGGGTCATTTCGTAGAAAAAGAGGTGCAGGAGCTCATTAGCAAAACTTATTAGCATATGTCACACACCCTGACATCACCGGATGTGTGTCAAAAAGCAACACCCACCGCTGAGGCTCCACTGGACTATTTTGGATTGCTAGCTATTGGGGGGGGGGGGAATGCACAGATCTGCCCTCACAGAGGAGGGAGACCTTGTACCTGAAGGCGGGCGGGTGGGCTCTGCAGCTTACCTGGCTGCTTCTTGCTCCTCCTGGCCCGACTGAGGGCTGCTGGGAGCAGGGGTTGCATGTGCCCACCCCCTGGGCTCCTTACTGCCGGAGCTCCGCTCCTGTGCACTCCTGCAGGAAATGACCCCTGCATATAATCCTAATAGTCCCTCTTCAACCTTTCAGGCAAAAGGTCTGTTTAATAGGATGCCTTTTAATCGGCACAGCCAATCCCCACCCACTTTCTACTAGCACTTGGGAGGCCCATTAAAGGTGCCAAAGGCACCCAGTTGGGGACCCCTGGAGTAGGCTAAAGACAGCCAAAGCAGAACTCACTGGAAGTTCTCTTGCACAAGGGAACAGGAACATCACCGCAGGTTCCCTTGGTGGGGCTTGTGCAGAAGTTCCCAGCTGAGTCTCCCCGTCTGGAACCTTTAATGGCACCCCAAATCCACTGCTGGTTCCCTCCCATCAGATCAGGCCGGAGAGAGCTACTTCAGCCTGTGACAGTCTTCTTCAACCTCTTTCTACAACAGCCTCATGGGAGGCCATGACTTGAAAGTTTAGTAAATTGCCTCCAAAAGAAGGAACTTCCCGAATGAGATTTATTAAGTGGCATCTAATGCAGCAAACCTTTAACCAGTCTGTGCCATTCATGAAAGCTCTTTTGAAAGAAAGTCATCCTTCCATTTCTAAAGAGAAACAATTTCTATAGGCAGGAGATTAAAGATATTAAAGGCGGGAATCCAGGGGGGTGTGCTTTATGACCAGGAATTAGACCATCCCTTTACCGTGGTTTTGGACAGCAAAGGCACTGTAAAAAACCTGTATTAGACCAATGAAACCTAGAGCAGTGTCCTTTCAGCGGTTATAACAGATGGCTCCAGGCATTTCTAATAGGAGTGAGGCTAGCCAGAGCAGCGTTTCATGTACTAGAACAAAAGCCTCTTCCGAGGAAGGGTAGCTTTCACATCTCTCTGCATCAGGAGTGACCAAATGCTCTAGTCATTCCCAATACAGAGTTCCCATGCTCAATGGAAGATGGATGGCAAGAAGCAAAGACAGAGCAGTAAATCATACAGAACCACTACAGGCAGACTCCTCCACTGGAAGCTACCCCAGCCTGGATAGATGGGGGGCCATAAACACCCACTTACTTTAAGCCTGACCCATCTCACACATCTGCGTAGGGGGTAAAATTATAAAGCACAAGACAATTTTTTTAAAAGCTGGCAGGAATTACAAGAATCGGGAGACCTCTTTCAATCTAACCAGAGAATGTTCCGAAGGTTACCAATTTCTTTAAATTGTTTTCTTCACTTCTGAGTAAGCTTCTCTCTGTACCTAGCCAACCTCAAAGGATTGTTGTAGATTTAAAGTTGCAGGTTTGACCTTCTTAGGAGAAGGAGGAAGGAGCCAGTTTTAACACTTTCTTTATTCTGACAAAATTTAATCCTAGGTATAAGCCTTCATGTGAAGAAGTGTGCTTGCACATGAAAGCTTATATGCAGAAATTAAACTTTTTTGGTCTTAGAGGTGCCCCTGGACTCAAACCTTGTTCTGTTGCTTCAAACCAACACAGCTACCCCACCTGAATCTTTCTTTATTCCATAAGCTTGAGGGGGGAAGCAGCCCAGTTTCCCATTCCCACACCATTATACTGGTAGATAGGTAAGGATAATAAGAGAAGCTACCCCAAAGTTTAAAACCAAGGGGCTCAGACAAAATTTTAAAAGCACCTGGTTCCACAACATTTATCTACTGAATTCCCTCAGGTGGGGTAGCCATGTTGGTCTGAAGCAACAAAACAAAGTTTGCATCCAGGGGCACCTTTAAGACAAATAAAGTTTAATTCTGGGTATATGCTTTTGTGTGCAGGTATCTGAAGAAGTGTGCACACACACAAGAACTTATGCCCAGAAAAAAAAACTTTGCTGTCTTAAAAGATGCCACTGGATTCAAACTTACATTACATACACAGACCATTATTGGCATATGTCAGGTTACAGGAAGAAACAGAAACAGACAAGGAGAAATAAGTCAATCATACGCAACTATGCATTGTGTAATCAATCCTTAATTACCAAACATAGAAATAAGGCTACCTTTTCACTGACTCAAACTTTGTTCTGACTCCACTCAGCTAGTATAACTGAGAACTCTCCACAGTTAACTATGTGTATATGTTATTTATGTACATAGATAATGTATATACATAGTTAACTAAGGAGAGCTTTCAGTTACACTATGTACATTTTCTGCGTAATGTATAAGCCAGCATAACTGAAAGCTCTCCCTACTACTACGAATCAAAGCTCTCCGAAATCAATTCAAAAAACAAATAGCCTACGAGACGGTCTTTCAATAGAGAGAGGAAAGGTCACACCCCTCTCTAAAAGTTACACGCAGTAAAAAGAAAGGCAATCCCAAACAGAAACCCCGCGTGCAAGCGAGCAAAAGGAAGTCCTCCGCAGCAGCGACCCAGCGCAGCGACTTACTGGCTCCGGCGCGCCTCGCTCTGACCAGGCAGCGGTTCTGCAGCTGGAAGGAAAGAACCCGAAGAGAAGAAGCTGAGTGCGACTTACTTCGTACTGAGCTCATAGCGCCGCCGGGTGCCTCCTTTGGATGCGCGTCGCTCCTCCCCTCTCGGAAAGCTGGGCCGGGCTTGGCTCGTCTGGGCTGCAGCAGCTACCGGGAAGGCCAGCGAGGTAGGCACGGGGAGCCTCCAAGTGACGACTGTGAACGAGTTGCCCCACCATTAGAGGTATTTATAGGGCAATCTCAGGAAACCCCACTGATGTGATTCACATGTACGCGAGAAAGGGGAGGGGAGGGGAGGAAGGAAGACTTTTGTAAAAAAAAATCCACCTGGTCCTTCCCAGAGGGTTTCTTTGGGGAGATTCCGATGGGTCACCGTTGGGGGGGGGACCTATGACCCCCCCCCAAGCCATTTTCCCAAATGAATCCCCTTTGTTTGCTCCCTTAGGGGAAACATACGTGCAATGGGCAGATCCAGATGGGTAGCCCTGTTCGTCTGTCTGTAGCAGCAGAAAAGCACAAGAGTCCAGCAGCGCCTTAAAGACCAACAAAACTTATGTCAGGGGAGGAGCTTTCGTGAATCACTGCGCACTTCTTCAGATGGGTGCTCAGGAAGAAACATCAGGGAAGGACTATTGGCCTGATCCAGCAGGGCTCTCCTTGAGTTCTTATGAAGGCCTCAGTCTCTCTGCCCTGTTGTTGGTCCCCCAGAGGAACTGGTTGGCCACTGTGTGAGACAGGATGCTGGACTAGATGGACTATTGGTCTGATCCAGCAGGGCTCTTCTTATGTTCTTATCAGGGGAAGGCCTTAGCCTCTGTGCCCTTTTGCTGGCCCTCCAGAGGAACTGGTTGGCCACTGTGTGAGAGAGGATGCTGGACTAGATGGACCCTCACTGGTCTGATCCAGCAGGGCTCTTCTGGTGTTCTTATCAGGGAAAAGCTTCAGCCTCTATGCCCTGTTGTTGGCCCTCCAGATGAAATGGTTGGCCCCTGTGTGAGACAGGATGCTGGACTAGATGGACTATTGGTCTGATCCAGCAGGGCTCTTCTTACGTTCTTATCAGGGGAAGGCCTCGGTCTCTGTGCCCTGTTGTTGGCCCCCCAGAGGAACTGGCTGGCCCCTGTGCGAGACAGGAGGCTGGACTAGATGGACCGCTGGTCTGATCCAGCAGGGCTCTTCTTATTTATTTATTTTATTAGGCTTATATCCCACCCTCCCCACATTGTAGGCTTAGGGCGGGTTCCAACATATAGGTCTACAATTTATTCAGATTTACATTTAAAATCTGTAAAATCAATAAAATCATCACATACTAAAACAACATAAAAACATTGTGGTCCCAGTCTGGCTTCATAGATCTGCGGTCACTGGAGGGGAGGCCAGATCAAAGTGAATGGCTGCTGCCTCAACTAAAGGCCTGTTGGAAGAGCTCCATCTTGCAGGCCCCGCAGAACTCTAACAGGTCCTTGATCTCATAAGGTGGCTTGTTCCTGGCCCTAGTTGAGGGAAGTCAGACATCCCTAGGGCCAGAGATAGTCAGGAGATGTTGGTTTGTAGAATGCAGGACCTCCATCTCTGATGGGTCTTATGGTGTCAGCCTTCTATGCCCTGTTTGGTGTAGTGGTTAAGTGCATGGACTCTAATCTGGGAGAACCGGGTTTGATACCCCACTCCTCCACTTGCACCTGCTGGATGACCTTGGGCAAGCCATAGTTCTGATAAGAGCTGTCCTTGAAAAAGAGCAGTTTCTGTCAGAGCTCGCTCAGCCCCACCTCCCTCACAGGGTGTCTGTTGTGGGGAGGGGAAGGGAAAGGAGTTTGTAAGCCGCTCTGAGACTCCTTCGGATAGTGAATGGTGGGGTATAAATCCCATCTCCTCCTCCTCCTCTTCCTCCTCCTCCTCCTCCTTCTCTTCCTCTTCCTCTTCCTCTCCCTCTTCTTCTTCTTCTTCTTCTTGTTGGCCCTCCAGAGGACCTGGTTGGCCCCTGTGTAAGACAGGAGGCTGGACTAGATGGACCACTGGTCTGATCCAGCAGTGTTCTTATGTTCTTATGAATGTTGAGGTTTGAACAATAGTGTGTATGGGGTGGGGGAGTGAGCCCTCTGATATGACCCCACCCTGGTCTCCCTTGAAATGCCCTCTATTGGTTTAAACTGGCACCAATGTGGAGAAGAAGAGGATGTTGGAAAGAAGATTCCTGGATTGCTCTGTATCAGGTCACGAGAACACCAGCAGCACCCGAAATCAAAAGTGGATTTGTAGACAGGCCGGGAACTTTGATATTTCAGAAGACGATCTCTGGCCCAATACCGGCCATCCTTAAAACGTCGGGCTCTCGATCCCTCCAAGCACCCTCCTAAACATTGTGACACACCCTCCCACACACACCCACACACCCTGGCTGGTTCAATGGATCTAGAACGGTCTCAACTCTGCTTAGGGTGGCCCTGTTCTGGGTGTCATCCGGTTGGGTGTGACTTTCATAATAGTGATAATGTTCTGATCTGGATGGCCCAAACGAGCCTGGTCTGACTGGATCTTGGAAGCTAAGCAGGATCAGGCCTGGTTATTATTTGGATGGGAGACCAACAGGGAGCTCCAGAGTCGTCACTGCACAGAGGCAGGCCGTGGCAAACCACTTCTGAACGTCTCTTGTCTTGGAAACCCTGCGGGGTCACCAGGAATCGGCTGCGACTTGACGGCATTTCCCAGCAGCACCGGTCATCATTCACATGGCTATGATGGTGGGATCTCAGAGAATGAGGAGCGTGACTGCTATTCATTTATGAGTTAATCTAAATTCAGAGCTGCGACATGTGGGGCAGTTCACAAACGGAGGTTCCAAAAGGTGTGCGGTACTGGAATTCCTAGGGCTGGATGCATCTCCTGTCTTGTCTTTTGGGTCCTAAAACGCCCCTTGGATAGATGCTCCCAGAAGTGAGAAAGGCAGGTTAAATCTTTTGTGTGTGTGTGTGCACGCGCAAAGTGCCATCAAGATGTAGCCAACTGATGGCAACCCAGTATGGTTTTCAAGTCAAGAGACAGTCAGAGGTGGTTTGCCACGGCCTGCCTCTGCGTAGCAACCCCGGACTTCCTTTGGTCTCCCATCCAACTAATAACCAGGGCCAATGCTGCTTAGCTTCTGAGGTCTAATGAGACTGGGCTAGTCTGGGCCGTCTAGTTCATTAAACTCTTCTCTATTCCCAAACTGAATGTGCCTCCCTTTCCCCCTGTAGCCCTGGAGATCCCAGTCTTCCTTTCGAGGGTTCACAGGCTGGGAAGGGCAAAGACTCCAAACATCGATGGTGGTTAGAAAGTGGTGAGAAATCTATGGCGTCAAAACGGTCCTTGGCCCAAAGACAGTTAGCGTGCCTACCTCGTAAAATTGTTGTGAAGATACAGTGAGGAAGACTTGTGTAGGCCATGCTGATCTGGAGGGTGGGATAAAAAATGAGAGCCAGTTTGGTGTAGTGGTTAGGAGCACGGACTCTAATCTGGGAGAACCGGGTTTGATTCCCCACTTCTCCACATGCAGCTGCTGGTGGGACCTTGGGTCCGTTACAAGTTCTCTTAGAGCTGTTCTCTCAAGGGCAGCTGTCAAGAGAGCTCTCTCAGCCCCACCTACCTCACAGGGTGTCTGTTGTGGGGTGGGGAAGGGAAAGGAGATTGTAAGCCGCTCTGAGACTCCTTCGGGGAGTGAAGGGTAGGCAGAGGTCATTTCGGGGGGGAACGCAGTTCCTCCGGGTGAGGTGCAGGGGGGCGGGGCACATGATGAAGCCCCGCCTCCTGCTTCTGGCCGCCCCGCTTCCAGCCCTCATTCAGCCAGGAGGAGGCAGGAGAAGAGGGAGGGTAAGTTGCTTCCTTCCCGCCTCTCCCCACCCCTGCCTGCCTGGGGCCAGGGAGGGTCTTGGCAGGGCTTCCTCACACTCCCGCTGGCCTTGCAGGTCCACGGCCGGGCCCCTGATGTCAGGGGGTGTGGCATATGCTAATTAGTTATGCTAATGAGTTCCCCTAGCTCTTTTTCTATGAAATGACCCCTGAGGGCAGGGTATAAACACAATTCCTCCTCCTCCTCCTCCTCTTCCTCCTTCCATTTAGTCTGGAATTCTTGTGATTGACATTCAATTTTTACAACAAACCCAGTCCTCCTTCTTCATTCCAGTATCATCTGTGTTATTTCTCCATCTTGTGCCTATTGTGTGATGATTTTAAAATGTTTATATACCTAATTGCATAGCCTGTCGATCGTGTGCGGACAACCAAAGTGCTTGTGAGCCTTCCCAAGGCTACCGTTAGATTTGAGTCCAGTAGAACCTCAGAGACCAACTCTTATGGGTCTCTAAAGTGCTACTCCTGCCAACCTAGCAGTTCGAAAGCAAGAAATTGCAAGTAGATAAATAGGTACCAGTTCGGTGGGAAGGTAACAGCGATCCGTGCACCTTGGTGTTTAGTCATGCCGGGCACATGACCTTGGAGAAGTCTTCGGACAGCGCTGGCTCTTCAGCTTTGAAACGGAGATGAGCACCGCAACCCTAGAGTCGGACTCGACTGGCTTTCGAGCAAGGGATCCTTTACCTTTTTAAAGTGCTACTGGACTCAAATTGACCTGTTCCACTGCAGACCAACCTGGCTACCCTTTGAAACAATTTCCAGGGCTACTGTCGCCTTAAAGTTTAATTTCTTCCTTCTCTTTCATGTTCAAGCAATTAACTCCTGTTCTCGCCCATGGCTGACTGGTTATTTGAAGAAGTGAGCAGTGACTCAGGAAAGCTCCTCCCCTGCCACAAATTGTGTTAGTCTTTAAGGTGCTCCTGGACTCTTGCTCTTTTCTACTGGTTCTTTCAGGCGTTCATGAATCAATTGTAAATTATCAGCTGGGGGGGCGTGGGTAAAGTGCTGTTTTGAACTTGACATTCAGACAATGCCACTGGTGATTAGAAACATACTATTGTTGTTTTTCAATTGCTCTGCTACAGGCTTAACTGCGAAAATTATGAACAACAGCAGTAAATATTCGGCTGGCTTCAAAGTAAACAGCAGTACCAGAGCATCTCTGCCCCACTGAAATCAGAGAA